GCAGGAAAGACCCAAAGCCAACCCAAGCTGCTCTCTTTTACCCTCTTCATGATACCTGAATCTCTGCCATGGACAGTGTTCCGTCCCAGCTCCTTCCAAGTAAACTATGCTAGAGCTCACTCCTGGCTCATAGGCAAGATCAGTTCTATCACAACCTGTGCCAGCTACAGCCCTGAGTAATTGCTTCTGAAATAATTCCCCATTTCCATTTCCTGGCACTGAGGTCAGTGTTATGGCCTTGCCCCTACACTACCTTAGTTTCTATTATTTCATTACCCTGGCAACCACATACTGAAGGAAACCTAATTTGGGGACAAACTCCTCTCACTCCCACCCCTCTCTATGGGTTGCTGGGAGGTTAAAATAACATAAAATGCTTGACAGAGCGAGTGAATTTCTGTTCCCTTCTCTATAACCCAGGATTCTAAGCCTTTGTTGTCATTTATTTTGACACCTCTCAACACTGTGCATGGAAAGACCAAAGGGCTCTGAGAATTCTGGCAGAGAACAAGGAGAACTCTAAATGGATTTTGGCACCAACCTGCTGGTCGCTTGGTTAAATTGAGACAGTCTGCATGGTAAACTTTGGGGCAGCCTGGCTTCTTACAGGAGACGAGCTGGCCAGCATCCCCACAGCTGAAGCACTCATCCTCTCGCTCCTTTGTGATTTCACCCTGGGTCCTGCGCTTCCCCTGTTGCTTCTTCTTGAATTTCTTTGACTTTTCCTCTGTGGCAATGGGTTGATTCTAGAGGTCAAATATTGTTGACACATTAGTTGTATGATCTTGACGAGGTTAACTATCCTCTCTGAGCTTCAGACTCTCCTCTGGGAAAACACAGTCCTCATAGACTACTGTGAAGTTAAGAGAAAACGCAGGAAAAGCACTGGGCATATCATAGGTACCCAATAAATGGTAGCACGAATTTTATCTGGTATCAACTACCCCTACCACTTGAGCGAATTAAGAGAGAAATGTGCTGCTTTCTGTTGACACACAAGACTGGTATTAAAGGTCATCCTTTAACAGTAAGTTTTATTTTTATTCTTATGTTTGTCTAATTTCAAAAACTAAGGAAGACTTCTCTGGGTGTGTGTGTCACACACATTTCTTAACTTATTCAACAAACCTTCACTGAGCACTTAGTATGAGCCATGTGCTAGGAAGACACAGAAAACTAATTTGTGGCCCTTGCTCTTGACAAGCTATGCATCTTTACCTAAGTCAGTTTAGGTTCATGTCCACCACTCCCCAAGATAGACCCTGGTGCAGCCCGCAGGTCTACTCTGTGCTCCCTGCAGACCACACGTGGTCATCAAAATGCATGGTTTTCATCGCATTATTTATCTCGGCCTAGGAACATCCAGGACCAATCCAATTTATTGCCAGCCCACAGTGATCTCCTCCCATTTCTAAACTTCTGCTCCCGAATTTCCCTTTCACTGATTCATGTGTGAAATGCTACACAGACCCTAAAGATATAGAAACTGACATCCCTAGTGCACCTAACACCATTAAACTCTGTTACTATTTTAATCTATAGGGACTAAGTCAACTGCACATCTTAAGGAACAAGACCATTTAACCAACTAAACAAAATACAAAATCCAATATAAATTTTCTTATTTAATAAATAAAAGAATAATCACTGGGTGTTCTTCATTTATTATAGCTCAAAATGATTACCCTCTTTAGCTAGTGGTTTCCATGCTAATTTGCATTTTTCAGTTCTTAATGTTGACTTCGCAATCAAACAAGCATAATGGGAAATACCCAATTGGAGTCACGGTGTAGTCTACTTTGCATCAAAATTAAATTTCAATTTTCAGCATGCTGTTACTTACGACAGAGAAATCTGGAAGCATCCAGATGTTCATCTATTATGGTTCATCCATTATATAAAAATTTAAACAGTCACTAAAAATGATGGTTATGAAAGTTATGTAACAGCAAGGGAAAAATGTTGTATAATATTTAAGAATTATAAACAATTCTTAACAGTTATAGAATTATAATTCAGTTAAAGTACACATAAAAAACCAAGAAGTAAGATACAACAAAGTTTATACTGTTACATGGTACATGGTTAAGATTAGGGGTCTTTAAAAAAAACAAAAGAAGTCCTATGTTTATCTACAGTCTTATAGTACATTTAGAATCTTAAATTCAATATCAGATTCTTTGATATCTTTAAAAAGGCAAAAAGAGACACAGAGACAGAGACTGAGAATCTTTCTTAGGAAATGTAAGATCAACTAAGACCAATAAAAGACATGGGAAGTAATCTACTTTACAGATTCCTATTTTACAGCTTTTTTAGCTAGAAAGGTATCACTAATTAAAAGTCAGATTGTTCAAAACACTTTAACAATATCCAAAGACCCTCTCTAGTGTACCAAACTGATCATCAGAATGCTTAAATTGCCAGCGTCCCTACTAACAACTATTCAACGTCATTATTTCAAAAAGACATCTTAAAATAAAGACTCAGTCGTGCCACAGGTTAGGGAGGGAGGACCACACCATTATCCCTGATGCAAACGTTTAAAAGGTACCTTTGGCCTTACACCCAAAAAGCCACTGCAGTTCGGAGCTCCACATTTGCAAACAGTCTTTCCATTCCCAAGACATTCTAGGTTGTAGTTGAAGGTAAGTTCAGTGCCTGCATAAAAGACCATGAAAATATTAGTATCTATGGCTTTAATTACATTATTTCTCTATTAATCACAAAAGGCAGACTTCCAAGAAAACAGATTAATTTTTAAAAGAGGATTAAAAGGATTTATTAACTCTAATCACACTATATTATTAACATACTAATAAATCCTAATCATATAACATTATTAATGAGCTAATATAATTTAATAACAGAAAAACTTATATGACTTAACACGTAATTATTTTTTAAGATTTTTTTGATGTGGACCATTTTTTTTTTTTTTTTTTCTTGCGTTATGCGGGCCTCTCACTGTTGTGGCCTCTCCCATTTGCGGAGCACAGGCTCCGGACGCGCAGGCTCAGCGGCCATGGCGTGGGATCTTCCCAGACCGGGGCCCGACCCCGTGTCCCCTGCATCGGCAGGCGGACTCTCAAGCACTGCGCCACCAGGGAAGCCCGATGTGGACCATTTTTAAAGTCTTTATTGAATTTGTTACAATATTGCTTCTGTTTTACCTTTTGGTTTCCTGGCTGTGAGGCATGGGATCTTAGCTCCCCGACCAGGGATTGAACATGCACCCCCTGCACTGGAAGGCGAAGTCTTAACCACTGGACCTCCAGGGAAGTCCCAACAAGTAATATTTAAAGTAACTTTTACTATAGATGTGTTAATCCCAAATTGTTTTTTATTTTTTTCTAACCATTCAGATTCAAAATATATTCATTCATTACCAAAAACAGACGAACAGCAATTTATTGTGCACTGATGTGCCAGGCACTGGGAAAGCAAGTATGAAGGAAACCTGTCATCTGTGCCAACGTGAGTACATCTTACCAGGCAGCACTCAAGGGAGAGAGACATGTCAATACAGAATAATACCAGAGAACTCTAGACCACAAGACCTAAGCCCTGGCTATACATCCCAGTTACACCACAATCTAGCTGGCTGATTTGAGACGAAGAGTCCATTTATTAAATGCAGATAACAATCTCACAAGCTTACTGAGAATGACATAATATACATAGCAGAAATTTGTAAACTTTAATAGATGTACAAATTTAAGGTATAAAAATTTAAGGTATAAAATGTCCCCTTTCTGTCACAAGTGCATTTCATCAAAACTGAGAGCAAATAAATCACACATTCAAACTCAAAGCATGTTAGGGAAAGCCTAACAAATAGAAGAATTTTATACAGACATACAAAGAGGTTATCTCTGGGTGGGGGTAATGGCTTACCGTTAATGTACAAAGTGATAACTGTTCAGTCAAAATTGTCAGAACTTAGGAAGATTTCCCTTTGCAGAATGACAAATCTTCTACCAGTGAGACTAATTAATATATACAGTTTTTCATCTAATATTGGAAACAAGTATTTTTTAATTTGGTTGAGCAAATTATAAAGCAGCTGGCTTATATTTAGTTCATATGGTACAAATGCTAGAATCACTTGTGGCTTGGTTAAGAGGCTCACATTGTGAGGAGCCTGTAGGAACCAAGACTGACCAAGGTAACAGCAGGGTCACATCTCCCCTCCCCACTGTGAACTTACTGTACTGAATGATGGGTAATTCTATTCACACTAATCTTATTTAAAAATTTATAAGCATATAGCTGAATTTTCATATATTTAATGTGCTAACAATGCAACTCAACCACAAGATAGCAAGATACTTGGCATAACTTGCTGCTCACTCAGCATCCACTATGTAAACAAAACCACACAAGGGGATAAATCAGAAGGTATCATCAGTGTGCATACAGGAAAGCCATTCTAGAAAACAGTCCAAAATACAATAATCTGCAATCTGGGGGATGGCAAATGGCACTGGAGAAGAGATAAACAAGGAGTATGACACACTGAAGACAGAAAGTAACAGGTATGTGAAGAGCCCATGAGGTTGGATGTGTAAGGAGGAGAGCAAGCTTAAAGTTCTGATTCCATTCGCAAGGCTGAAGCTCGTATGGGCACTCTGCGTGGCAACGAGCACATTCTGTCTCAATTCCCCCATCCCACCCTTGCAGACTGGGAGGACAAGAATAAGGTCTGTCAATTCCCACACCATTCTACCTGAGCTGAATGAATATGGGAGAAGAGAAATTTGTGGCTAGACATGGTAGCCATCCCCATGGACACGGGCCATCCCCATGGACACAGACTAAAGTTCAAAGTAGAAGTGTGGTAGTAAAAGCAGTCAGGACAGAGATAAGAACTGAAGTCACATGGCTAACATTTGAGTAATTAATACAGAGGAACACTGCCCCTCCCTCCCCCAGTGTGGTTAGAGAGAAAAAAGGAGAAAAGAAAGAGAGATATATCAGATCCAAGAATCCAAGTAACATAGACAATGCTACCAAATACTTTACAGTACTTTTGTAAGGGTTAAATGAGACAATATGCTTGGAACAGTGTCTGGCACTGGATAAATGGTAGCTCTTACACACTCACTTGATAATTCCTGTTACAAAGCAGAAATCTACCCAATTTACTCTGAAGCTATCCATTCCAAAAATTTGATACAAGTTACTGATTTTAAAAATCACTATCGGGCTTCCCTGGTGGCGCAGTGGTTGGGAGTCCGCCTGCCGATGCGGGGGACGTGGGTTCGTGCCCCGGTCCGGGAGGATCCCACATGCCGCGGAGCGGCTGGGCCTGTGAGCCATGGCCGCTGGGCCTGTGCGTCCGGAGCCTGTGCTCCGCAATGAGAGGCAGGCCACAACAGTGAGAGGCCCGCGTACCGCAAAAAAAACAAAAACAAAAACAAACAAAAAAAATCACTATCATTTAGTCCAACAGAGCACAGTGCACAGTGACGCTCAAGCATTGTTACTTTCATCATTAAACACTTTATGTGAAGCAATGCAAAACAGTGGCTCAATTTTTAAAATATGAAAACTGTCAGAGCCTTTAAAATTCTAAAGAGCCTATAAGACTCCTGGGCAGCAGTATATTTAAATTATAGAGAAATAGATATATTGGGGGGGGGGCGGGGGGGGGGTTGGGTGTTATCCACAGATTGAAAAAAAGAAAAGGCAACAGACAAAAAGCTGACAAAATTGCTCTTTAATTACTTTATCTTGATTAGTGTTTGCTGAGGTCAACGACACTGACTGGGCAAAGCAGAATGCTCATATGGGATTTCTGCTTTGAAAGTCATCGGACTACGCTACTGTCAATTACAAACTACCCAGGCCAGTCTGATCTCATTTTGAGTTAGGAGAGTGATCCTGAAAATGCTTTGCTAGTATTCCTGCAAAATTTATTTTGAAAAATTATATACGTCCTTATACATTCAAACTTACACAACTCTAAATATTTTAAAAAATCATGCAATTTAGAGGGTGTCATATGTATATGTATATACGATATGCTTACAACTTTTTCATCAAAACCTTGACACTATATTTTAAGCTCCTTTAATTGATGGAAAATATCCATCATATAACTTTACTTTCAAACCTCTTAGCCCTATCAGGTTTACCTTCAATTCAAATAAACATCTTAATATTGTGCCGATTACAACTACCTCACTTCTACACTCTGAATTCTCAGAGACGTAATAGGCATCTAGGCAGGCCACAACATAGCTGTGCATTCTCCAAATGTCCAGTTCTTTGAGACCCAAGAGGTGAGGGTTTTTGTTTTTCTTAGCCTTGGGCTCATAAACCATAAAATTCAGATGGGTAAGAGGTGGATATTTGGTTTATAAAGTGGATGAAGGGCAACTGTAAAAGGAGACCTGGACTGCTGACACTTTCTAAGGCAGACCAATTTTTTTTTAAATACATTTGTTTATTTCTGGCTGCGTGGGGTCTTCACTGCCGCGCACGGGCTTCCTCTAGTTGCGTCGAGTGGGGGCTACTCTTCGTTGAAGTGCACAGGCTTCTCATTGCAGTGGCTTCTCTTGTTGCGGAGCACAGGCTGTAGGCGCGCGGGCTTCAGTAGTCGTGGCACGCGGGTTCAGTAGTTGTGACACACGGGCTTAGTTGCTCCGCGGCATGTGGGATCTTCCCGGACCAGGGATCGAACCCATGTTCCCTGCATTGGCAGGCGGATTCTTAACCACTGTGCCACCAGGGAAAGTCCTAAGGCAGACCAATTTTTAAGGAGTTCATATAAAAGCTATGGAAAAGGTCTGGAAATTTATTCTTTTATAACCATCCAGGAAATCCCCTGGTGGTCCAGTGGTTAGGACTTGGTGCTTTCACTGTGATGGCCCCTGGTTCAATCCCTGGTCGGGGAACTAAGATCCCACAAGCCGTGTGGCACGGCCAGAAAACAAACAAACAAACAAAAAAACCCCAAACATCCATGCCCAAACCTTGAAGACATCATGCTAAGTAAAAATGAGCTAGCCACAACAAAACAAATATTGTGTGACTGCACTTACATGAGATTCCCAGAGTAGCTAAAAAAATCACAGAGACAGAAGATAAAATGGTGGTTGCCCGGGGCTCGGGGAGGGGGGAAATGAGGGAGTTATTGGTTAATGGGTATCTTCAGTTGGAGAAGATAAAAAGTTCTGGAGATAGATGGTGGTGATGGTTGCCCAACAATGTGAATGGACTTAATGCCACTGAACCGTACACTTAAAAATGGCTAAAATGGTAAATTTTATGTAACGTGTATTTTACCATACCACCACCAACAAAAAAAATACCTGGTACATGCTAAGTACCACCTGGAAAGTCTTTTATGTATCCTTGGGAGTTTGCAACCTCATTTTGGATTATAGAACATATGGGATTTTTAGATAATAAAAACTGAAACCCCATTCCTAGCTCCAGACTCCTTAAATGATTCTTACCTGCTTTAATGTCACTCAAGGCAAAAAGGCCAACACGGGTATCTCCATTCACAGACCACTTCTGTGTTTCACAGTTGGGCTGGCAGCAATGATTCATGAATCGAGCATAGTTTCCTTTGGGACCAGCATCAATAATACGATCCTAGAATTCCAAGAGATGCTGTTCAGCAGACCTCTACTATTATTGATTAAAATTAGAGTAATAATAAATAAGCTGGAGTTTCTATTTGTAAAGTTTGATTCTTCCAGAGGGGTGGTCTCAGAGTGTAGTCCCTTGACCAGCACTAGTATCACCACCTCGGAATCCGTTAGAAATGCAAATTCTTGGGTTGCACTCCAGATATACTAAAGCAGAAACTCTGAGGCCCAGCAATCTGTGTTAAGCCCACTAGGTGATTATGATATATGCTAAAGTTTGAGGACCACCGTCCTAGAAATAGTAGCTTGTTCCATTCCCTAAATTAGGTAGTCCTGAACCCTGGCTACACATCAGAAATCACCTAAGATTTTAATAATGACATCAAGACCCCATCCCGAATGAAGATCAAGAGTATCTTGAGGTGAGAATCTCACAATCCATAAAAGTACAACTCGGTAAATACAAAGTTTCACACCAAGAAAGGTCTATTATAAAAGTTAAAGGGGTCGGGGGGCGGAGAGGAACCTAGCAGAACGTAATACTCAGGTACAAAGAGGAATCTCAGTATACATAGAAACGAAACACATTAGGATGCTGGAATTAGAAATAAATCCCATAAACAACAAGGTCCTACTGCATAGCACAGGGAACTATATTCAATATCCGGTGATAAATCATAAGGCAAAAGAATATGAAAAAGAATATATATATGTATAACTGAATCACTTTGCTGTACAGCAGAAATTAATACAACATTGTAAACGAAATATACTTCTATAAAATATTAAAAAATAAATTTAAAATAAACAAACATGTTGGAAACACACACATACAAAAAAAGAAATCCCAAATATAATTCTAGACACCAGTGAAATGTAACTCATAAGAAATTGCAATAATTGGAGAGCTGACTTGGGTTTGTAAGCTGAGTTCTATAGTCAATTTATATGACCTTCTCAATGCACTAATTAAATACGAACAAATCAGTGTCTCAATCTGTAAAATAAAAAGTAAAAGAATTATTATTTATTTTTCTGGCTTCAAGTTTTAATCTTATAGGAAAAACACTAAAAGACATAATCCCCAACTTACGTTGGACACTGAAAAATAATGCTAAAAGCAGCTGTATTGCCTTTTGCCATGGATGTACAGCTAGAAATGAGCAACCTTACCTAACTCCAGGACCCTGATCAAGCAATCCCTATGAATATGGGGGAAAGACACTGTTTGGGACAGTGTATGACATGCCTATGAACACTATAGCTGGGACAACACTAATTCACAATCTTATAACAGTGGAAATAACACTTTTCATTACTTACTTTGTCTAAAGTGAGCATATAGAAATTAGTGATATCGTGTTCTTGGGCATAACGGATTCGAGCTCTGCACTCTTCTTCATCTATTAGCTCACCCACATATTCATTGACAAATTCACCCTGGAACAAGAAATAGCTCTTGACTTAAGTGACAAAAAGCATAACTGTGTTCACAGGTATACCTTATTTTAAAAAATTAATGAAAACAACAGATTCTCCAAAGCAATTCATGCACATTTAACTAGTCACTTTAACAAAGGTTTATTCAAGAAACCACATAATATAAATATGATGCTTCAACTATTTGAAAATATGAACCATCTCCCCACTCCTACCACAGCCAACAGCAGAAAACTTGGGATACACCTTAAGATCAACCAAAATGAAAGTAAGTAAACTAAAGCTCCACTATAATGGTGATATGGATAGTTGATCCCTTTACCTGTCCAAGAACCTAAAAGTCAATTTCGCTAAACTATCCTCTTTTTCCTTGGAGCATGCCCTGCCTACTGCCCTTCCACATTTCACATCACTGTCCTCCTGACTCACTATACAATAGTCATACTGGCTTTCTCTCATGCTGTCCCCTCTACCTGAAATACTTGAACACTCAACCAGCCTAAGCCAACAATTACTTATGTTTCAATTTAAAACATTCTCAGAGACTTCCCTGGTGGTGCAGTGGTTAAGACTCCACACTCCCAATGCAGGGGGCCCGGGTTCGATCCCTGGTCAGGGAACTAGATCCCACATGCATGCCGCAAGTAAGAGTCCACATGCCACAACTAAGGAGCCCACGTGACACAACTAAGGAGCCCTTGAGCTGCAACTAAGGAGCCTGCCTGCTGCAACTAAGACAGCGAAACAACAACAACAACAACAAAATTAAAATTCTCAGAGACAAGCTAGTTTCAGGCCCTTTGCCACATGCCTCCAGAACCCTTTGTGTTTCCACACTGGGTGATTACTTGTTCAATGTCTCTCTGCATCTAGAATGTAAACTGTATGAAAGCATGGATCATGTCTCTCTTACTGAGCACTGCATCACACAGCAACATGCCTGACACACAGACAATATATAACAGTTACTTAGCAAATGACTAAAATAGACCAACCCATATTCCCTTCCTTTCCTAGAAACAAACTTCAATAAAATTCTTCAGAAGGTATAACCAGAGTAAGGTTTATTCTATTAAAATATCAAATATAATTTATTCTACTCAAAGACTGTACAATACCATCTATTTATTAGAAACCTGCAGGTCCTTCCAAGTTTCAAGTTGAAGATGTTACTGCATTTTCATTAGAGAAGACCTAATCCTCTTCTCCTTCATGTTCCATGAACCCAAACCTATTTTTCTCTCAGTAAAAATAGATTTTATTTTATTAGTTGGTGATTAACACCTCTGTATCATGCTCTCACTATCCTAACTACAGGTTCCAGGAATTCCGCAAACAAGGCCACGGTATCTCTATGAATTTCCCTCATTTTCTTTATCTTCATACATAGTGAACATGATCAATACTTGAACTTTAGAAATAAAGGAGACCATCTATTCTCAAGCCTCTAATTTCTGGAAGGATTGGCAAGACATAATAATAAGGTTAATCCTCACACTATATTATTTTCCTCCATGATCAATTTTCTCATATTCATCAAGAACAATTACTCATATTAAGCAACTGCAAAGAAAAAAAATCTGAAAATTAAGAATACGTTTCTTTACCTTTTTGATATCTGTTTTTGTCCGGAGACCCCAGCCCCTCTGTAATGTGCGAAAAATTTCAACCTCTGGATACTGGCGCTTAGTAAAGCACTGGTTTTGGCAGCGCCCTCCAGCAGGACATACTGTGGGGTGACACTCATAGAGAAGCATGCGGTTGATGCACTCGGAGTCTATCCCACAGGGGTTCTCATCAGTAGCTTTACAGTTGCAACGGGGAATTTCAGACAAGTCTGCAGTGAAGATCTGTACCCTGCCAATAGGACGGTTCACCTGGAGTAGAAACACATACTATAGTATAGCAGGCAAGTCAACACAAGACAATTTAGGACCTATGAAAGGCAGATTTCTTTCCTTTAAAGTCACGTGCCACATTTTACATGATTTTGAATTATCAAGATTTAGCAGGATTATTCACAATAGCTTAAATGTGGCAACAACACAAGTGTCCACCGACGAATGAATAAGCAAAATGTGGTAAAAATAATGGAATCTCATTCAGCCTAAAAAGGAAGGAAATTTTGACACACGATATACAACATGGATGAACCCGGAGGACATTATGTTAAATGAAATAAGCCAGTCAAAACAGACAAATACTGATTCTACTTAGATACAAAGAGACAAAAAGTAGAATAATAGTTGCCAGGGGCTGAGAGGAGGAGAAAATGGGAAGCAACTGTTTACTGGGGTATAGATTTCAGTTTTACGAAATGTAAAGAGTTCTAGAGATGGATGGTGGCAACGGTTGCAAAACGTTATGAATGCATTTAATACCACTGAACTGTATACTTAAATATGGTTAAGATCAAAAATTTTATGTTATCTGTATTTTACTACAATTAAAAAACTGGAGGAGGGCTTCCCTGGTGGCGCAGTGGTTGAGAGTCCACCTGCTGATGCAGGGGACACGAGTTCGTGCCCCGGTCCGGGAAGATCCCACATGCTGTGGAGCGGCTAGGCCCCTGAGCCAGGGCCGCTGAGCCTGCGCGTCCGGAGCCTGTGCTCCACGACAGGAGAGGACACAACAGTGAGAGGCCCGTGTACAGCAAAAAAAAAAAAAAAAATCTGGAGGAAATAAAGATTGAGGCAATTTGACATAAAAATAAAGCCTCACCTGATACGCAAAATGTAAATACCACAAATTTAAAAAATTCATCTCTTAAAAAAAAATCATAATTTCAAGGCTGGTAAGCCAAGTAAATTGTAAAATGAGTTTCTGCTATTGCCACATGGTGGCGCCACTTTAGCTGCTACATTAAAAAAAAATCACCATTCTCAACTGATATTTAACATGAAAAGGTCTCTGAGCAATCGGAGTCCTATTTGTGAAGATGTATTTTAATATTGACTATCATAACTTGAAATCTTTTTAACAGACTATAGCAATGTCACCCAGGCATTCGTTTTTAGTGGTGCTAGTACTGAAAACCACCGTGAAAATCCAGTATGGTAAAACATAGAGGCCAATTTCTGTGATTCTGAAGCCATTAGAATTTTCACAAATACTAACAACAATGTGGAGAAAAAAAAAATAGATGTTCCACAACAGAGATGGATTTGTGCACTATAAGAATGGTAATGGTCTCCCCTAATTGGGGAGGGAGGGAGAGGGGGAGAGAGAGAGAGAGGGAGAGAGATGGGGAGGGAGAGGGAAGGAGGGAGGGGGCGGG